ACAGCAGCAGAGGAGCAGAAGCAGAAACAGCAGAAGCAGCAGCGGTGAAGAAGCAAAACCAACGAAGAAGGAGAAGAAAAGAATAAGAAGAAAGAGAGGGGGAAATGATGGGGAGTTGGTGGGTTCGGTGGGGGAGTCAAACACGCAAAAAGGGAGGGTGGACCGGCGGAAAAGAGGGGAGGAGAGAGAGAGAGTAGTCAAATCACAATAATCGCGATCTAACGGCCACGATTCGAATTCAAAAACGATCTAACGGTCCTCGAAAAGTCCTAATTAATAATTTGGGATTTGGCCAAAGGGTATTAATAAAAACACACCGCAAAAGAGATCTACCGGTCCAAATCCGCACCCGGTCAAAAACTCACTTTCCACATATCCCGGGTAATATCGAGGCTGGCCACAATAATATCGACACCGTCCAATTAAATTCGTCTCGTAACTCCGAGAAATTCAACACCAAAGTTTGGGCTCTAAATAACGGCCAAATTCGATCAAGTGCGATTCTAGCGAAATCTCAATTTTAAAATCAATAACCGGGAGTGATCAGTTCCCGAGCGAGATTTTACTATAAGCACACCGACGAATTACACGTTTTATAAATCCCAAAAATGGCCCGAAATTCAGAATGTCACAGTTATTCTCACAATAGATTTAACACAGTCACATAAGCAACCATAGACTTGGCGAAGAATAATTTAGGATTGGGCAGCTCAATCGCAGATCTGGCTCATATGAGGGCGGTGAGATTGGTGGTGATATCTATTTTCCGAAACTAACGAGTGGAAGAGTCTCGAACAACAACTATGGACTTGGCGAAGAATGCAACTGGATGACCACCGTGGAGAAACGTGGCCTATGTGGCTGGCATTGTTACTAGACTCAATGGCGCTTCCTTAGGATAAGGCTCGGTCGGTGTTGGTGTTGGCTGGCTATAATTTGGGGATCTGGCTTGTCTGAAAGTGATAAGTTTGGTGGCGATATCTGTTTATCGAAATGAGCTCGAAGTCCCCGCCACCCCTCAGATCTCAATCTAGCAACGACACTTGGAATCGCATTGCTGCCGTTGCCCTTCAGGCACGCCTCCTACACTCTTGCAACATGCCCCGTTCAGGCAATAGGGCTTTTGTAATACGCGAAGCAGCGATGAGCGATAGCTCTTCAATCGCTCTTGCGATAGCGAAGGCATGGTTCATCCTCTAAGTCTAAGAGAGAGTAGATGCGAAGGTTCAAATCGAAAATCTTCGTAAGACTGTCCATGAATCTCGAGAATCGAGCGGGTGCGCACTTGGGTGGGCACTGTGGAAAGAGAGATGTGAACTTTATGTACATTTTGATAGGTTAATAATGAAAGTATATGAATCTATTTATAGGCTCTACATGATGACTATTTAGAGTAACAGGATATTACAATATCAATCAAGAAGATAATACGCAATCTTAAGAGATATGCAGAATCATAATCATGGGAAATTTATCTCTAAAAATAATAATTGTTCATCCTTGCCTGATGCTCGGTTTGAATTATAATTACTAAATCCATATGTGAGACTAAGACTTGAGATTAATGAGCTCGTCGCAAAAACTATAACGCATGTGTAGGGATGGGCATGGGAAGGGTAGCTTGAGCTGCCCAATCCTAGAAGATAAATGGGTGAACTTGGGCAAAGGTCTTACGTGAGAAAGTTCGGCTTGCCCATCTCGGGTCCGGTCCTGATTGAGCCTGAAAATTCCTCTGTGAATTTTATGATATGGGCGGGATGAGGCAACGCGTCAGGCCTGATCCGAGCCCGATGATCACCTCTATCGAGTGTTGTAGTCCCATCCTTGCCATGGGGAGGTACAAGTGTTTGTACGACCGAAATATTTCACTGAACTAGTCGCACCCTTTCTTCCGCATTAGTCGGGTCGCATAAGTGCAACAGATCGGAAGTGGCGTAACCACGTTAGACAAACAACCGTGAAACTTAACCGAATAAGTAGCAAGAGTCGTAGGCACGTCGATAACACACAAAAGAGGGCTTCTTGGGGTTCGCACTCAGACAGTACATTCTGATATCATATTTGACAAAATCATATTCATAAAAGCTTAAACTTTTAAGGAAATGTGTCGAATAAATGTGTCGGTGTTGTACCGAATAAATCGGAGCACAACAAAAGATATGCGGTGGTGATCTTTCGGCGTTATTGACCCACACCACAAGGATGTCGCGGAAGCGTATGCCAACGTTGTTCTGCTGCGGCCAGGGAAGAGAACGCCCGCAAAACATCTCTTCAACGTTATAAATGTTCCCATTTTTGTATCCTTCGCTAAGGATGTTCGCTGTCTTTATTTTCGTAGTCACTTGTTTTTGGCCATGAAGATGGATAGAAGAAGTTCACGATATCAAGCAACGCACAATTGTTCTTTGTCTCTATTGAATTCTACCCTTCAAATACACCTAATTTCCTTACAGACTCTAGTACGACGACAAAAGCAGCTAGGAGATACGTCAAATCTAGGGGTAAGCATGGCCCGGATAGGCAGTTCCCACCTTGGAATCGGAAACGACCCACTAAAGACTGGTTCCAAAAAATTAGAACCGGGAATCACCTGTTAATTTCATGGACCCACTCGAGAACCAGACCGGCGGATCGGTTCCGAAAAATTGGAACCGAGAATCGTAAATCGAGAATCGTCCGTTGGTTCCCCCGAGCTTCCCTAGACAAATTAGAAAATGGATTGGTCTGAGTCCTGTGGCTCATGGAAGAAAGCGTCTTGGTGGGTTGTGTTGGAGTTAGAGTGACAGGTAAAAGAGGGTTTGAAGGTTGGAAGCATGTTTATGCATTTTGTTTGTTGCGATTGTGATGTTTCTTGCAACTCCAAGAAGAGGGCAGGGCGGGATAAGGGGAATGGCAAGGCATTGGTGCGGGATTTGCTCTGAAGTGGCTGGAATAGAGATGATATTGCTAGAGCAAGGAAGAACCAGGATATTGTAGAGACGACTGTTTTGTTTCTTCAATTTTCACTTCGCTGAAGGTGAATTGAATTTTTTTAACATATATATATATACCGGTCCGGTCAAGTGAGTGGTTGGACAGTTCCACACCTAAAATCGGGAACCAGATTTATACTCTCCGATTCCAATATATTGGAGTTGGGAACCGGACCTGTCCCCACAGGAACTGCCGGTTCCAGGCGGTTCCCGTTTCTTTAGCACAACTCTACTCGGATCCCTCCCTATCGACCTACAATCCTCGAAATAAACGGGTGAAATCCGAGGTCCAGAAAATTGGTCCGACTCGGACTACAAGTAGGGCCGGGCCGCGTCGTGTCTCCATGACATTTTAGTCGAAACTGGTGCACATACATCTGGAAAGAAAGCTAAAGAAAATATGGGTCCATTCATGGGCCAGAGTACCACGTAATTGGGCTTTGGACCGACTCCCCAAGCCAGTCAATTTTGGTTATTTTCCAATAGATAAGGCGGTGCGCAAATCCGGCCGCTACGCTTTGCCCATGTAATCTGCATGATGCACGCATGGATGGATGGCCCTCCGATACTCAAGTCAATGCGTATACGTACGGGAGAGGGAGAGATAACAGAATAGAGTGGCTATCAGCAAACAAAGGGCCTAAAACACTAGTTGGGCCTTAACCTGGGCCTAGAGGTTTCAAGCCCAATTATAGTGTCGCTCACTTTTAGAATCGAAGTGATCTTACGTTTTTATAACAATTTACACTAATAAAAAAGATGTCAATTTCACTCATTCAAATGGACAGTAGACCTCGGGTGGGTTCGGTCGAAAATGGTCCGACCCAAATTGACCATTTTCCATGCGACACGAATCTAGTGACTCATATCCAATTTGCCCATATTAATAAAACACTTCTATTCGAAAAACCCATACTCAGGCTAAGGTGAAAACACGGAGTGAGCTAGCGCGAGATCGAGTGAAGGCGAAAGAGAGAGTGAAGAGAATTATAGAGGTGGATTGGGTCTAAGTAAGTTGTTAAATCACTAACGCCCATATTAAATCCATTGATGACCCATAGAGTTGGGTCTAAATCCATTTATGACCCATTTATTGAATATAACTAATTCATATAACAACTTGGCCTATCAAATATAGGTTACAAAAATTTGACAGGTCTAATGGATAGCCACCCTTTCGTCTCCTCGGAGTGAGTAATTTCCACAACCGATGGGTTTTCGATTGGGCATAATAGGGCAAACGCCGCTCTGCACGTGAGATGGAACGGGGAAAGATATGGTCAGCCAGGGCCGGCAACCCCAACCTTCTTCTATCCGTAGTTTTTTCATCTATAAATCTTTGAACTTATTTTGCGAGTTATATCACTTTTCTTTAACAATGTATATGCCTTCTTTGTTCTAACTCGATTCCTCGTGAAAATTTTCCGAATGAAAGTCATATTTTCCCTGAATTAATTGCGAGTAGCCTTTTTATGAATTTTCTAGGTCTATCATGTAATGTCGAACTGTGCCCACTGAATATTCTAAAACTCGAGATTGAAGTGGAGGGGACAAAAATGGGGCAAAGGAACCCACATACTCGAAGGAGTAAGGATTATGGTAGGGAAACTTGCAGTGCACGGCGCATGCGGCAAGAAAAGGCGTCTCGCCTCCGCCGCTTGGAGCTGCCCCCATCGGACATCCCTAGCGATGCTGAAGCGAGCAATGCAGAGGGGCAGAGAAGATGCATACGCACACGAATCAATCTGTCAACTTCCGGGAAACCATTCATTTCCGACCTCTGTCTCGCCCCGCTCCGTTTAGACATCGACAGCCGGGACCAGGACAACCGTCGGGATCGGCGGCGCCGTAGCACGATCCTCTAAAGACAGTAATTTCAGTACGAGAATCAGAACACGGAAAGAAAGCGAATGAAGCAGATTCTATTTCCTCCGCGACTTAAGTCTGTCTATAAGCACGCTCTCTCTATTCAGCCAACAGGGCAATCAAGCAAAATTCCCATGCGTTTGAATAAGGAGAGAAAACAGAGAGCCAAAAGACTGTTTATTGTTTCCCACTTTGTTCTTAACTTATTATTCGTCTTGCATTTCGTCTTTCGACGATGATCCCACACCGTCACTTGAAAACCGAAACAACTATCAGATACAAGAGCTGGACTGGGCAAAAATATGGAAATAGCAGTGAAGTAATCGACTCGAATAACCCGAAAGGGACCATAGTGTTCGAGACAAGATCGATCGATCTGATCTGATCCGATCCGATTCATCTTCAGTCGGCACGGCATTGTCGTCGAAACCATCTCGTCCTTCATTCTCTGCACAGCACGGCTTCGTCTCTCTTCTTCGCGGCCATCATCCAATTCGGGTGCTGGTGGTGATGCCTGAAACCCCAACTCCACCCCATGAAGCTCCTCCTGCCCTGCTTCACCTTCACCTCCTTCTCGCTCACCGTGACCCGACACGACCCGCTCCTGAAATCGCCCCCCTGCGCTGCGCCGCCGCCGCCGCCCTCGCCGCCTCCTCTTATGCTTCCGAAAGCTGATCTCGAATTCCCGAGGGCGCCCATCTTCGGATCCTGCCTCGCCTCGGTCGAGAAGAACTTCAAGTCGATGAACCCCGTGTCATCCCCGCCGCCGCTGAAGTCGCCTTCCTTGAGAGAGAAAATCCTCCTGGTGGCGGGTTTGTTGCCAGTGGAGTCTAAGCTAGGAGCGACATGATGCTCGAGGGGCAACCCGTTCTCCTTCCTCTCGCCGCCGTCGAAGCCGCTCTTCCTAGGCTCGGCCTCGCTGAACCCGCTCCTCCTAGGCTCCGCCTCGCTGAAGCAGCTCCTCCTGATCGTGTCGGATTCGCTGAACCCGCTTCGCCTGAACTCCGCTTCGCTGAAGCAACTCTTCCTCTCGGGATCAAGAAGGAGACCGCCATTGACGCTAGAGGTCCTAGCCCCTGAAATGGAGCTCCTAGCCCCTGAAAACGTCCAGTGATCGCCCCCATCCTCTGAGCCGTAACAGTTCCTGCCTCCCCTGAAGCTGCTGAGGGATCTCGATCTGGACACGCCCGATTGGTGATCCACGACCCACATCTCGCTCTTCGCATCGAACCCATTGTCGACGCTCTTCTTGCGATCCTTCTTCTTCCTGAAGAGCTTCCCGATCCTCCAAATCCCGTGAACCCTCTTCATCTCCACGCAACTGCTACTGCTCCTCTTGAACACCATAGCTTCCTCTGCTTTGCTGTTACCATACTCTGTACCGCCAACTCTGGGCTTCGAGGATGTGCTGATCTGGCGCGAGAGCAAGAGCTCGCTCTTGTCGCTCTCGAGCAGGAAGGAGATGCGGCCGACGCTGCCGACCTCGACGGTGCAGGAGTTGCGGTTGGAGGAGATGTCGGAGGAGCAGGAGCAGGAGGAGGAGTGGCGTTGCTCGCCGCACTCGGAGCAGACGAGCCTCGCGAGGCGGTCCTTGAGGCAGTGGGCACAGACCCCGACGGAGGAAGAGCCCGGGTGCTTCCGGCACGGGTTCTCCGACGACGCCGAGTAGTAGTTGTCGGCGAAGAATCCGTCGCCGTCGTTGCCCTTGTACGCTTCCACAGCTTTGCCTCTGTCTTTCATAGCTTCTTCACTCACTCTCTGATCCAAACAAGGGAAAACGTCCGACTCTCAACCACAAAATTCAAGAACTTCAGCTAATAATACATTGCACAATTCAAGAAGAGAGAGTGAGAGAATGAGAGTGAGAGAGCAGGAAATTTTCAAATTGGAAAAAAGGGTATAGAACGAGAGCTTTTCTTGATGACAAAAGGGGGGGGAGTGCAAGGTACAATGACGCACATATTGGAGTTGGAGTGAGGAGGGACTGACTGACAGACAGACAGACAGATACAAAGGCGTCAACTTTACGTTTCCCTTTTTTCAACCGCGAGTACTGGAACAGTGGCCCAGTGGCGGAAGCCGAAAGATGATTGAAAAAGGGGCCAGTGTCGCATTGTCGCTGTTCCTGCTCTGCAAGGTTTATCATTGTGTTCTTAGGCAGGCCATCAGGAGGGGAGGAGGGCTTCTCTCGGTTCACCGCCAGGCATTCGTCGTCGTTCTCCGCGCTGTATCCCACCATATTTTCAATCGTCAAGAAAAGCTTTCCGCGAGGAATTTAAATCAAAGCCCCCCATTTTGTTTATGATTTTGAAGGGGGACGTGCGGCCTCGTATCTGTCCAATCCCTCTCTGCTCTGCGCTTCTGTTGACTTTCTTGTGAAAGAAGACGCGTGTCTTTTTTGCCTCTGAGAGAGAGAGAGAGAGAGAGGCACCTGCCTGCGTCTAACTTTTGACAGTCCCTGTTGGGCTGTTGGGGTTGGAAATTAAACCCAAGAAGCACGCACGCACGCATACGCTTTGTGTTTCCCTCTTGTCTGATCTCGCTTTTGCGTTCGACAGCGACGATGATGGGAACGTCGACATGAAGTGTCGTTTACCCCGGTGGATCTTCGGCCACGTGTTGTCCCCGACGGTGCGCTGTGCTCATGCGGGGGTTTGCCCTTGATATCTTTCCCCCTTCCCCAATCTACTTTCTCTGGAAATTGACAATTCCATTGATCTGCTAAGATTTTGGTTATGAGAATAGACCCCGTACGATTTACACCGAGATGTTCGACCGAACTCCTGCTGCTGCTACCGTTTGCTTTCGGCTTGAGATTGTGGTACGCGTCCGTCCTACTTCGGTATCGGATCACATCTCTCTCTCTCTTCGGCCACGGTAGATATCAAAGTTAGGACCCCGTGCAAATATTTTGTTGTCTCTATCGATGTTTTCCAAGAGAAGTCAATATATTAATTTGCCAATTTCGGAATGAAACCGCGAGAATCGAGTTGGATCGTCACACCGAGAGATGTTCGCGCGAACTCGTGCCACGACGGATTGCTTTCGTCTTTAAGATTGCTGTACGCGTCCATCCTACTTCGTATCCGATCACATCTGAAGAGCCATCTCTCTCTCGCTCTCCGGCCACGACAGAGAGTGCGAATATTTTGTTATCTCAATCGATGTTTTTCAAGAGTAGTCGATGTATCAATTTGCCACTTTCGGAATGAAATCGCGAGGATCGAGTTGGATCATTACGATACGTGTTGCGACACTAGATAGAGGGGGACCATCTTTTTCTTTCAAATGAGACCAACAATCGAGCTAAGGAATGCTGGGCGGGACCAGGGAAACCAGAGAGAGAGAGAGAGAGAGAGAGGGAGTGATATGAGCAGCATGATGGCTTCCAACTTTCAAGGCATGCCCTCGTTGGATCACGCTGCACGGCAGGAGTGTTTCGCATCGGATCACGCCAGTGCGGCACCAAAAGAGTCCCACACGAAATTTTGACGTTGATTAAGAAGACTTTGGTCAGCGTACTCCACGACCCATTAGAGTAATTAGGGTTCATCATTGAGATCTACCGAGGAAGATGTACGGATTCAACGACGGCATAGGTTGCTTGCTTCATAGACCATCCAAACTACAATCCTAAAATCCACTAAAACACGTAGGGACACTCCGATTTGAAGTAGGGAGTATGGATAGATTCGTATCGGTCGCGGCCTAGACAAGACGAGAGAGACGGCAGCGAAGGCGTTCCGCTAGCGTGTCGTGGTGGACCGGTGAAAGTAAAAATTTCGTTTTTCCTTGGTCGTGCGTTGCGGTTTTGCACGCAAATTTTTTTCCTTTTCGTCCTTTGTTTGTTCTTTCAAATAAGACACTACCGTGGGTGGATCAAAAACTCCAGCTACTGATAATACAAATCCCATGAATTCTGATGTCGGTAGCGGCAACAAAGAACGAGAGAGAGAGAGAGAATGGGGCGAAAGAACATAAAATAAAGAAAAACGAGAGGTCGCAATCGAATGTGGCCCGACAAGTCATTTTCCCGACGGACTAAACCGAGTCGGTCGATTATCTCTTCTAAACAGAGAGGATCCAACCATTTCGTACACGGAACGACGAGAACGACGGCGGAGGTAAAAAAAAATGACCACCGTACACGTTCGACGGTACAAGTACAGAGACGGTGATGATGCTCGGCCGAGAAGAATTTGTTCACGTCAAGGCTCCCTCCCGGAAAAAAGGATGGAAAAGAACCGAGGAGGATTTGGAAGCGTAGGGAATACAACAACATCATCCGGAGTTTCCAAAGCACGTCCGCTGCTGCTCTGCTCTGCTGGCTGCCTGGCTTGTATGGCATGATTGGGGGGGCGGAGGCTCGCATGACCCCCAAACCAATCATCATCATTCCAAACAAAAAAGCCTTTGTTTAAGGGGGGGGGAAACTTAAGTGCGGCAAACAGCGTTCCGCGATCGCGTCGTCCGTCGCCAAAATCATTGGCCAGTTTTCGATGATATAAAAGAAAAAAAAAAGAGAAAGGAAAGGGAAGGAAGGAAAACGAGAGGGACGACAGACCTCGCCATCATCATCATCATCGTCGCCATGATGTCCCTCCCCCCGCCCCCGGTCTAATCTCCACTAATTATTTTGTTGCTACTGCCATTAATGTCTCTCCTACGTTTTAACTTTTACCGCCACCACCACCACCACCCACCTACTAAAACAATCAATTACGAGGAAAGATGGTAAAATAATGGAAAAGGAATTGAAGGGTAATGGTGGTGGGGGGGAGATCATGATTACGGACAGCTTGGCCGACACGTTTAGGGAAGGACGCATAAATACACGACGCCGCTTTTTGTGTTGTGGGGGGGAGGGGGGGCCCCCTCTTTTCTCCTTTTTTTCGTTTTTTTGCTGCTACGTGCCCGTGGCAACGCCGCCGTGCCACGGCGGTGGTGCCGCGGGGGCGTTTCGTGTGGGTCGTCGTCATCATCATCATTAGCATTTTGCTGAATTAAAAGCTTGATGAAGCCAAGCCTCGACTTGAGGTTGAACCCCTCCTCCTATGTTTTCATTTCATTCATCCCCCTCGCGTGCGTATGTCGAGGAGCCGTGACGGTTCTCTGGCTCGGTTAGCCGTACGTGCTTTTTTCGGGGACAGCCGTGGCCCGTCTCTGCCCTATCCAGATCCCGAAATGCAAACGAGTAGATCGGAAAGTTCCTTTTTGTTTTGCGCATTTAAAAATCCCGGCAGGCGTGGCCAGACTCGATTCGGCTCGACGCGAGACCGCGCGTACTCCCAAAATAAATAGTAATGCCTACTCGGTGCACGATAAGGCATCGAGTTCGCTTTGTAAAGAGCTTTTTGTTTTCCTGGTTTTTCTTCGTCTTGACTAAATATAGGTAATCGAGTCGCAAAAAGATAAAGTCTAAACAATCTAAACCCTCGTGAGAATGTGGAAACTTGCCTAAATATATACACATAGTTTATCATATCTTTTAACCTTTTTTCGTACATTGAATCTGATATGCCTAATCTATCTTTGGTGTATGACCAAGCATTCCGAGTGGGCTTCAGCTCGAGTTTGTAGCTTTTTCATTTTCCAGCGGGATGAACTTTTCCGCCCGAGGCTAAAGTGTTTACCACGCCATCTCATGTATTCGCCGAGTTGCAAAAAGGGGAAGATTTTTACGAGTCCGACATTTCGTCACACCTTTCAATCGATCAGAGAAGGAGCATTCGAACAAAATATGATTCCTTGTTTCGAAAGCTAAAGACTCTTTCAACGTCGACCATTCGGTCCCATTCGTCCGGAAAAAAAGTAGAGCCACAGATGCTGAACCAAAACCAGCAGACGTATGCGTGTTTGGACAGAACCAAACAATTTTCATGCGAATCAACTTTCAGACATGCTAGTTCAGTAGTTCCCTCACACTGGAGTGGCGATGGTGGCGCTTTTCGGCTTTTGCTTGGCGACTCTTCTTCATCTACAAGCCCATGCATGCATCGTCTAACTTGGACCAGTTTTCCTGAGCTTGTTAGCATTGGCCCATGATTTCAACCAGTGTTTTGGGCTTGGCCCAGCCATTCTCTGCTCTCTCTGTGCTCTCTCTCTCTGTGTCTCATTGCGAGTTGGGTTCACTCTCACTGTGGTCTTTTCGCCATGAATCTCCTGAGAATTCACCATGACCGCACTCCCCTCCTCCTGCACCGCACCGCCCCTCGTCACCCCCGTCTTCCCTCGCCTCCACTTCCTCGGCCACCCAGGTTGCGCTCGCGCCCCGTCTCCACCTCCTTGTCGCTCTCCGCAATCTGCAGCTTCAGAGCTCGCGGCGTCTCGAAACGCGCCGCGCCGGCGTACGGCGATGAGAAGGGCGAGAGCCTCGACGGCGAGGCCGTGGAGATGGAGGAGGACTTGTCGGTCGACGGCGTCGTGTACCAGAACACGTTGAGACTGGTGGAATGCTCCATGTTGGCGGCGCTCTCCGGCTTGGTGTACTTCCTCAGCAATTCGCTCTCGATTGAGGTTAGTTTGGGCGGATATGGTAATGGGTCGTCGTTAAATGAGCTTAGGTCTCGACTCATGCCTCAAAGATTAGAGTTTCGGTTGCAATGCTTTGTGGTTGATCGTGAAGCATCGGTCTTGGTGGGTTGTTTGACCGGGTTTCTCGGATAGTGTTCGGGGCTATGGTTCGGTGCAAATTCCTTGATGTTCATTTAGCGATTATCATTTGGCTTTATGGTCTGCTGATGAGCAGTATTTCACTTTGTACAGAATTACTTTGGTTGCTTTTTCGGATTGCCAATAGTAATCTCCTCTATGAGATGGAGCATTGCAGCTGGGAGGAAAACTATGGTGCGAATCCTATTAGTTGTTAAAAATTTTCATCCTTTTGAGTTGAGTTGTGACTGATCGTATTGGCAAACACGTTGTTTTTCTCTCCACAGGTTGCGACAGCTGTGCTGTTACTTGTCCTCTCTGGTCCACTGAAAGCATTAACTTATCTGGTCAGTTCCCTTCCAGGATGCTACAGAACTCTGCCTGGTGGGCATATATCTTCGCGTGCTTGTGCTAATTCTGGATAGTGTGAAGATATTTATCAGTACTTATGTGTGCTTGGTTACTCTATTAATGGTTGAGCCACAATGCGATTTCCTGGGCGCTGACTCTTTTGGCCTAAAGGAGTATCATCCCTCATGGTTTTGCTGATAGTAAACTCAATACTTGTAGACCTTTTGGATTTTGTCATGTACTTATTCACATATCTCGCCGAAAATCGGTTCTCTTCCTAGGCTTGTTGAGGCAGGTTTTCTGGCGGTACCAAATTTGTCATTGTGTGGATACTGTTGTGGTCATTACCGAGAGACTGGTCTTTTTTATTCAGACATATTTGTCACTTAAGAAAGTGGTTTTCGATGCTTTATAGACTTCTCTGACATTTTAGTTCAGACTTTCCGGTCTAAAGCAAAATATTTGTAGTATACTTTGCTCAAGCAAAATTCTCTGTTGCAGCTTATGCACGGGTTACTTGGTTTGACAATCGGTTCTTTATGGAGGTATGAACGGAATTACAAGAAGTTTTTGCTTCTCTCTAGACAAGTAGTTGATCATGTTTAAACATCTTCATGCTATTTTAGCCACTGTGCTTTCACATGTACTACTACGACTATCCTTCTCCTTCTGCAAGTACATTATTTGATACAGTCCTTAGCCCCAAGTTTCCACATCCATCGAAATTTGGATCCATGAGATGCCCAAATAGGTTGTTATACTGCTATTAGATATTTGTTGTGCACAGAGACTTGTTTCATTTTCTGGAAACAAAAGAGTTCAACACGAAGATGTAATTGGTACAGAACTGTCCGGAGTATGTACTAATGCTGTTACTGTCTTGCCATATGACAAACTTCTTTTGATTTTCATAAAAATACTGACTAGTGCTTTTAGTTCTCAACATGTTGCAGTCAACTGGAATCTGAATTGAGAGCTTTCGTTTTGCGAGTACATAAAATCGAAGTCTTTCAGTTGACAGGCTTAACGCTTTTTTGATCTTTTTCATGGAGTCTGCTTCTTAATTCATGCTTTCTCAAATTGCTTCGCAGTTGCGTGTTATCCTGGTGAACTAAATGTCATTGATTAACAACTAACTCGAGCTTCACATTTGGCATTTAAACAGGTTGGGAGCCAGTTGGGGTGCTTCAATCTTCATCTGCACACTTGTATAAGTGCTAGTTATTCCCTGAATTCTTAGCATCTTTCCAAAGCCGTGGTGTTATATAGCTGTTTTCAGGTTATTCTGACTCATGTCGGTTCGACATGCAGGTTCGAGCGCTGTGTGCCATGGGTTATGTTTTGATATCCTCATTCTTAATAAGAGAAAATATACTTGATCTTGTAATTCCTTATGCCCTACATAGTAAATTATCTCAACTATTTTACATGCACCAGTTTACTGACAACATTCTCTATTCCTGTAGATCACCATAAACCTTCATGCTTCCATTTCCTTCTTGTTCACTGCTTCAGGCATCAACACAGTTCCATCAATGAATCTAATATATACAATATTTGGAGGCGTGGTATAATCTCTTCTCTCTCTTTCAATTCCTCCCATCATCGGATCATCTTTCCTGGCCATCCATTGTTTTCATGCATGAAAATATCTGACGTGCTTGGTACTTTGTTCAACAGCTTCTGCTGAACTCCATATTTCTAGTTTTCCTGCTACACCTACTGTACTCGGTGTTCCTTACGAGGCTTGGAATGAGAACTTCGCTTAAACTTCCAAGATGGCTGGAGAAGGCATTATAGAGTTGTTACATCTATTTTTTTGTTTGGGTCAAATACATTAACTGTTGTCTGATATCGAGGGGAACAGATGCCAACTGACAAGTACACATAATGAGAGCCCGACGCTCTCGCAATCACCTCTGCAAGCAGCAGCATCTCCTCATCCGCTATTAATGGTCTCCACCAGGTTGGCGTTCTCCATATTGCCCTGGTGCCAGTACCTCGGTGCGTTGATTTGGAAACATGAGAAGAAATTATATACTGGCCAGTGGACTGGGCTCGAAGTTGCTGACCCTCCAAAGGATGCAGGTGCAATAGTATGGACGCATTCATATTGTCTGCAAACTCCTTTCCTGCAATGCTAGATAGTACTTCGTTTAAGATCAAGATTGCACGAGACTCTTGACAAGCTGTTGATATCATGTATAAGTTGGAAAAGTTCTCATAGGTGTCTTATATCATAGTCAGCTTTACATAAAGTGCCCAGAACAAAAATCAACATATCGAATTGTAAATGGCTCTAGGAGGAATGTTTTTCTCCTCCTTTTCATCATAAATGATCCGCTTGCCCCGATTGAGTCGGGGCCTAAGATCAAAGCCTGAAGGCGTAGTCAAACACTGACTTCTCCACGACTTGATTAATGACCGCACCACTGAAATAATGAAAAATAAACTCCGGAAGCACTACGCTAAGATTGCTGCAAAAATCTAATGATCTCCTCACATGAAGTCAGTAGGCTCATGTTTCAAGTGCATCTTAAGCATGGGGTATCCAACATCGCTGTGTTTCCTTCAACGCGCAAAGTCAAAGTATAGACATAGGAGCAAGCACAATCAAAGGCCCAAAACACATTGGGCATTGTAATCACATGACACCGGTGCAAATATGTCTTCTGTTTAACAATTCACTATCCTGGGAAGAAGAAAAAACATAATAATATTAAATGCTTTGGATGTGTATTTCCGATAGTACAAAATGGTTGCGCAAAAATCGGGAATTAGCAGTTAAGGGATACTTAACAGTCAATAATTGCTCATAGATATCACTCGGCCCTCTAATCAAAAAGCTGAAAAACCTCTCTGCTCGAACACCCCTCTCAATAAGAAACCAATACAGTACACTGTTTTAGGATATTTTACATGCCTAAAACCCCAAATCCTATCATTAAAAAGTATAGTCCTGAGCGTCGTCGAGCTAGACCCTCATGCCACAGCTTCGCAACTGTAACTGAGCAAAAACAATGAGCCACTTCCTCCACTTTTTCCATCGGAACTTCTTGATCCGCTGCATAATTTCAACAAGGCAGATGACAGTAATAAAAAAGAACGCCTCATTAATAAATTTAACTCTGTAAAGCATATAATTGAAAACAAAAGTTTTCATTCCATCACCATAAAAGACAGAAAAAGCAGGAACAACGTAAAGAATGGAGATTTACCCAAAGGCCAACCGCGTCAAGAGTCTAAGCTTCCTTCCTAGTTATCCTGCAGGTTGAGAAATAACGATGAGTTAGACACGAATAATGGCATATTGTATCAACATGTAACAGTGATGTGAACAAGATGTGACAAATAGTCTCAAGGCAGAAAATGTACAGTCGCTAGGACCTGGAGGCAGGTCAACATTCAATTATGCAACTTCAGATTACCAAAAATGTTAATGCACACTAGAGTAGATACACTGAAACTGACCAAAGTAACAGCCATAAGTGATCCTGGCAAGTAGGAGAAAAAATCAACAGAAACGATCAAAACCACTGAAATCTTGTGACTTGTGACCAATCAAGGCACAGAAATGTGGAAGTCCGAGTATGTCGACATTAAACAAATACATTTGAATATTGTGATTTACCAGACCTCAGATTGAGTTCTCCATAAATCCTATATAAAATAAACATCAGAGCTTTCATGGACTTGTCTGTCCCCACTACCAGTAATTCCACTCAACAAATCTAATATTCAAGACAAGTTCAGCCGGGAAGAACATAACCAAGATAAGGAGCACATTGCATACTTTCTTGAATATATTGCATCCATACCTGAAGCAGTAGATTCCCAAGGCTGTTGTAATTTCATGTATAACGGATGTAGCAAAATGTAAGTAGAGCCCCGCTGTATTCAACAAGACAGTGTCAAAACAATAGCATATGAAACATGAAACTTTTATATGGGCAATTAAAAACAAGGTTTCTTACAGCAACAAATAAATTAACCTAATGCCAGAACAAGTAAATGCATATTGTGGCCACAAGTTTCTTTTAATGATTCTCAGACTTTATCATGTCAGTGACCATCAGAAATAGATTATTGCATCAATTATATTGAAAAGTCGTGTTCAAGAAAGTCATGTACCTGTGAAAATACAGTAACCCAGAAGAACCCACAACTCATCTACTAATGGAACTCTGTGATATGACAGTGAATGTAAGCAGTGGTATCTCATTACCAAAACATTCAAAACATAAACATTAATTAAGCGAACAACGCTATGACATACCCGTCATTCAGTTTAGCAGTCAGGACGTTGGCAAGGGCAAAAGGAAGGTACAACAAAGACTACACCGAAGTAAAGACAGATATTAGTAATTCTGTTTTCCATAAAAATCGACTCGATAACTCTCACAAATCAAATTCTCAAGCAACCGACAAGTACAATAAATTCCAAGGAATCTACCAACCATTTCCCTTAACGATGCTAAATTATCTGTCTCCTATACCTATCATCGGATTGGATAAAGTTGGCTTCCAGCGCCATCACAAATTACAAATATTAGTGAGCTTGTGTAGACATAACTTAGTCAACAAGTTATTCCTGGCTTAATTTTGCTGAACTTCTAGCTTATTTTCCAATTTCCAAAGTTAGCCAAACACTAGAAATAAATCAGTTTTTCCCTCACTGTTAAAGATATCAACAATGTCCAGGAGGCACATCATTACAAGCCCAACACCAGCCAAAGAGATCGTGTTTTTCACTTGTCAAATAGTTTTCCCTTGTGATGAATAACAATAACGTCTGAGAAAGAAATGCTGGAGCAGTGACACTCCACTAACTTCCCAGAGGCACATCATTAGTAAGCCCAACACCAGCCAACATGACATCTGCTTTTAACTTATCACCAAACCAAAAAGAAAAAAAGAGATCCTGTTTTTTGGGGTGAGTAAACTATGGACTGTATAAGAAGATAAAACATTAACAGCTTCGGCAATCAAGTTGGAGAATTCTGCCCAGAATCATTCATTTAAACTAATTCTGGGATGTTCTATGTCCATAACAAGTTCTCTCCCAGAGAAAAGGATCAAAGTCTTTACTAACTGAAATTGCCAAGTGCAATGCTACCTGGTTTCAATAAGAACCTAAACCATCAAATAAAGGAGCATATTTTCCTCTGAACATACCTATATTATAAATTCTGGCAAGGAGAAAAGAATAAAATGTCCAAACTAAAGTCATCTTAGCAATGAAATGCTTCTTACCATGCACATGTTAGTTTTTAAACCCTTGGGCTCATCGCACAAATGGGCCAAAATCATCCTTCCCTGTCAAAAGATCTTATGTCAAGAAATAATGTAGAAACAGAAAAGGAACCAATGTGCAGACACGCACTAGTTTAAAAATAACTTCGTGCATATTTGACACTGCAAGAGCAATAACAATGTGCTGTAAACTACATGTCACAATACAACATCCCATAAGGGCTGCTGTCTTTTAACCTATGTATAGGAAATAAAACATACCTAAAAACTAAATATCTAAAAAGCTCAAAACACAATATTTTCAAGAAGACATTTTAACTCATGAAAAATACTCATCAAAACCATGCTGCCCATAAAATCTAAAAGGGGGAAGTGCAGATTAGTAATTCTAAGAACCCTAGACGAGAACACACTAAATGTCACCTTTGCCTCATTCATCGAAGGAAAGGTGTAACCAACTGTAGGAGATGAAAATAAAGCTTTAATGTCTAGAGGCCAGAAAGCAGTACTCTACAGCACAAAGGAGTAGGGGCCATTCGGGAAAGAAAAAAGAAAGAGGAAATGTTGACAAAAGGCTGAATGTTAGATATCATAATTCTTATTAGGACCACCATTCTTCTAGAGAATAATCATTTGTGAATATCCAATTCTTCACAGATACATGAAACAAATTGCTGTCTACAGGTGGAATTGTCCCATGTATCAAGCAAGTATTTGTTGCCACATTTCCTCATCCTTGCCAAACTTGAATCACTTGGGACACATATCATAGCATATAGTGACGGCAAGAATATTAAGAGATGTAGAGCTACTACTCTTTGACAAAGTAAAACCAGCTGGCAAGCTATCCCGTAATTCTGGAGGACTTTTCATAGAAAGATTCCCGGATGGAAAGGAACAGGAGGTAAGAATTGCAAATGCTTTAAAAAAAAATGTGCCAAACTTTTTGAAACTAATTATTGATACCTATGTGTACCAGCTTTTTGTTCAACATAACAGAAAAAATGCAGTTTTCCTTGTCACAATGGAGCTTCACCACTTAAGGTAGATAAAATTGGATTACTCTCTTCTTCTAACATCAGCAATTTAAATTTTCATATGGTTTTCTAGTGAAGATGTAATCATGCTGATACTGCTAAGAATAATTAATCACCTCAATCTTCTTCTCATAGTATTTTCCTGCAAATTCTTTAAAAACAAGACGACTTGAAAAGTAGACAGCTGAAAAACATGTTACCTACCACAAGGAACCCAAATGCAAGTCCAGTTCCCACGACAACCAAATGAGGATATGTACCCATTATATCTGATGGGGACAAATAATCCCTGTGTAGTTCAAGAAGTAGCCATGAGAAGGACCGTTACACCACAAAAGAGTTTATAAGATGGATGATGGTTAAGCCATACCATGCGAGCACTCCTGCCAGGAGAACAGCAAAAGGGTAAAGCTGAGGGGAAAAGAAAATAGATCAGTCAGGCAATTGTACGCTCGCAAAACAAGTCACAGACTAAGAGAAAAAAAGAGCAGGTCATGTTAGTACCATCGCTAGTGCCAGCAACATGTTTCCTTTCCTTGCCTGAACTACCTTATAAACATTTGAGACGCTACAAAGACCATAACAAAGATGAAGTTAAACATATGAGGTACAGAAAGAGAATAGAGTTCATCTCTTTCTCCAATGATGATGTAAGTCAAGGTACAAGCTATCCTTATTTTAACTACTGTCTAAAGCACTGATGAGACTAGACGCCGCGGTTTCATATGGTAGTGTCTTCTGCTTAAATTTTCAAGATATGGCCTACTCAGTACTGATGAGCTCAGCAATAAACTGCTAGTAAAACACCTCCAAGAGGGGACAGTGATGATGAGACCAAAAAGATAATCTGTAACACAAATAAATGCCACCAAGGAAAAGTAAAAACAATAAAATTTTGCTTACTTGAATGTAACTGTGGGTATGACAGCAAAAGCTATCATCATATACAGCACAGCTTTATAGGTAGGAACTTCTGAAGCCAAAAGGGAAAAAATGCCACGTAAATATAAAGAAATAGATGATGTGAAATATCAAAAACTTGAAGAAAAGCAACCGCCAGACTAAAAAAAATTGCACAGAAAACAAATTTTACCAAGAAAAAATGTAACTGAGAAACGTTGATGAGACCTAAAATAAAAAAAAAGGCTGCATCTAGAAAATCATACAACGTAGAAACCATTTCAATCATTTTGTGTCCGGTAAGTCATTCCAGATGCGCACTAAATAAAACAAACACCTCCAATTTAAAGCATGAAACCATCTTAGGCTCACATAAATATAGTTAAATCATCCTCAATGTGGTGAATGGATGAAAAAGACATATCAAGCCTTTTCTACTATATGTCATGCATATCAAGCAACAGAAGGCTTCTCTTGGAACCCTTACGGCAAGTTTGACACCAACAAACATAACGTAGCAGGTGCTACAACAACTTTCTGCTGTGCACCCAAACGAATGAAAGGATTTTGAAACAAATAAAAATTTAGAAATCGAATGACTGTTACTAAAGGACTGATATACTCATTAATTTCGCAAATTATTAATATACACCATTCATTTTCACAGAATTAAAGATACAAGATGAACTACTGCAGTCTTACCACTTAGGAAGGGCACCCAACCAATAAGCGGAATAGATTTCCCAAATTGTTGGGCCCACCACTCAGCACCTGAATGAGAAAGATATATGCAAAATCTATTAACATCAAAGTAGAAAGATAGAAACAAAACCTAGCGTTCAAATCAAAGTTACAAGGACTACTTGAGCTCAAGGAAGTATCAGCTGCTAAAAGATCATACCAACAATAGCCGTGAAAAAATGGCTCAAGTAAATCATCATGAGACCCTCTGTTGGTCCATTAATTGCTGGAAGAATAAGAGTATTGGTAAAATAGCTGCATCCAAAAGACAATGAGGGTCTTCTTTCAGTAACTTCTTCCGATAGTCCATAGTACTAAAACCAAAGACAACAAAACTTCATACAAGTCCACAAACTAAGAGAACCAATATGACCACTCACATCTACACAAGCAAGAAAAGACATGAACTTATAAATAGAAAAACAGATATCCAGGGGAATAAAGAAGCCATTACAATTAACCTATAAAAGTTTCTCAACCTAAGGTCCCAACCAAGTAGTCACAATTCCTAGCAAAAACAAAAGAACATGAGATATATAGAGGAATGACAACTGCATTACACACAATGATGTAATGTTCAGATCATACAGTCCACAACCACAACTCAAATAACCAACTCTATTGACTCTAATTATCAAAATGAGAATAAAGATATATTTTTGAATTACATACTGTTCCCATGTAGCACAGTAAAATGGTACAGCTGAAATCACCCAGAACCAGAAAGTGTATCTTCCACACATGGCAGTGCTCGCGAAAGCCAAGGCTTCAAACTGAACAATAGCAAACAGAACTTGGGTGAATTTATCTTGCCAAGGGTAACCGGTGTTCCAAAGAAAATATCAAAACATACCGCACATGCAAGTGCATCGCATCCTGCAAGAAGTTGGCGATAACAGGAATCAGTGCATCATACTTCCACTAAAAGTGTTAAGTGGCATATAGTTGTCTAGTACATGAAAAGGGAATCACCATGATCAAAAAGCTCCCCAAGTGGACTAGAAGAATTTGTCCTTCGAGCTTGCTTTCCATCAACAGCATCAAATGTCTGGCGACATCAGAATTTAAATAGGTGATTTCCATGGAAAGATCACTATAGAAAAGGAAGAAATGGGATGCCCACTACATACAAACAATCACTTAGATGAGGAAAAATGTTTTAAATCTAAGAGAGTTCTCACAACCTATAGGAGGTGAAAAATCATGTTTAAAACACGATTAAAGAGGAAGACTCCTCACTAAGAGATTGAACGGAAGAGATCTGATGTGCGTTTGGCAACACTCACAAGATTTGCAATCAAGAATATGTAACTTCAGCAGTAGACTTTATTCGAACTGTCACAGGCAACTTCTTTTGATGAAATGTGTGTGCATTCATTCTGGGTGCGTGCATCAGACGACTAATTCCCCCATATCAGTAAATGTCAAAATTGGTCTAATTTTAAAAACTTATAGAGAAAAAACGAGAGTTAATACCTGTATGTATTTATACCTATCTCTTCAAAATAGAGAAAAGAAAAGAGGGAAAAAGTACTTAAAAAATCTAAAAGGATGCTGCATGACATAATGCCCAGGCTGTAAACATGGTATCACATTTGTCCCAGATACTTATACGCTCTCAACTGAAAAGGGAGAGATGAGAGGATGGATTGAGACATAGTTTTTATGCGAGAAAGAAAGAATATCATGCGAAAGTAAAAATCTTTTCATAAGAGACACCTTAAAATACAGTTCAAGATGCGAGAATAAATTGTGCGTAACACATACTTGCACGCAAAGTGATTTTCATATACATGAGCATACCTGGTAGAGAAATAAAAGTAATCCGTGTGCAAAATGAACCCATCTAGGCGGAGGTGAATCCAATTGAGGAGAATATATCTGGAGGAAAGACGTAGCAAAAGTAAGATGTAGCAGAAAGACTGATCTTCAGACGCTTACCCAAATAAGCAAAGCCTTCAAAGAATCTTATAGGCTTCATCACAAAAAATAAGCATGAAATTAATCTAGGAAACCTGCTTCTAGCATCGTTTGTCCTTATTCAGGTATAAAAGCTTCGAGCACCTCTCATTGTGTTTAGGTCACTCTCACATGGATTTCTTTCAGAAACAAATATATCCAGCATCAATTTGGTAAGGAAGCGGAGATGTATACAAGACAACTGTAAACTGGAGACTGCTTTGTAAGGCAAAAAATTTACCACCCTAGCCACTAAAAGCAAAGCTAGGTCTCCGCACTAAACCAACAAACAGAAAAAGTGTATCTCTGAACATCTTAAATGAGAGACAATAAAAGAAAACCATCAATGGCAATTTCGAGGAATCTCTTGATTACCCTTCAAGGCATCATAAATAAATAAATAAAATCTTTCCGATTTTTATCGGTTCGTATCTTCAAAAGACTGAGAATCCTGGTCTAAATCCTTAAGGGTATATCTGGCTGCAGACCTGTCCTGACTTTAGATACATGCACAAGATTCTATATATCAAGATATAAGCAGATCCAGGGTAAAACTAGTCGACCTCTGGAGACACAGCTATCAATAATTGATAATGCAAATTTATTATAGTCATTGGCAACAAAGGAACCACACTAATGTTTCATCAAATGAGTTATGTCCCGAACTGGTCATCTTTAAGGAGAAGTCACTCACATAGCCAAGCAATGCGGAGGTCACAAGGAACAAAAATCCAGTCAGCGTAATCTGAGAAAAGCAATGAAAAAGTCAATTTCATCAAACAATCAGAAATGTCCACAAGAAACTCCAATCGAAATACTCAAGTGCGACGTAGAAAATCTTACCATGTTAGGCCTGGATATGACACAGAAAACCACCAGCAGCAACAGGTTCAGAGGGTCAGCAATTACCAGCAATACGAAAATTAGTATGTGATGGCAGCACAATTAAAGCATCGTAAAGACAAAGAGCGAGCAAAACATATACCGAAGCACACAGAAACTATTTACCCTTCTCTTAATGATTATACTGATATACGAACTACTGAGAGAGGAAGCGAAAGGCATATTGGAAAGACGGAAGTGTTCGATTACTGAGCAAGGAAGTTATGTTCTTTATGCGTGACTTAACACTCGAAAAAATCGAAAACGGCATAATTATGGTTTTAGAGCATGACAAATATCTCCTAAGTCTTGTTTTAGAGCATGACAAATATCTCTTTTCCATCAGCAACCGATGCTAATCGCTTATTAACAACTTCGGTGGGGAGAAGAACTTACGGCATCCATAGCGGAAAGAAGTTGACGCAACGGCTCCAGAAAGGTTGCAGTACGTATTTCGCAAGGTAAGAATGATCCACGCCGCTGTACTTGTATCTATGCAAAGCGACCACTCCATGCGCTCCAACATAACCCATTCCCGTCCCTTTCAGAGGAAGCACTTACAAGAGGCTCCTTCTTGACACCTGCCTTCAAGGAAGCAGCACACAACAACAGACCAGGAATCAGCAAAAAGCAGCTCTTTTCAAGCATTTCAATTCACGGGTCACAAGCCCGGAAACACAAAGCCATCCACAGCCTAATCTTTCACTTCCGGGTCGATACGGACGAGCACGCCCCTCCAACCGAAGCGGGGGGCCAGTTCATCGAACAGATCGGCGACGGAAGCCCGAAATGCGCGAACTTGGCGCCAACCCACGTCGGCAAATGGGCAGGCGAATCGAAACCGCGCGCGCAATTAGGCCGACACGGATCCGGTCGCGGCGGGCCGATTGGAAGAGAGAGAGAGAGAGAGAGAGAGACAGGAGCGCGCAGATCTGAGAGAAAACGGGGAGAAAACACAGACGACGACGACAGCAACAGCAGAAGACTCGAACAGAGAGAATGGGGAGGCGATGGGGGGAGAAGAAATCACCTTCTCCTCTTCCTCTGAAGGTCGAGGGATCGAGGATCAGCTCCTCTTCTTTCTCTTTAGCAGAAAGAAAGCAACAACGCCAGAGGGAGGCAGGGAGAGAGAGAAGGGGGCCAAAGTTGCTTTATGTCTCCCGCCCCAAAAGCTGGAGAACAAATTGGGGAAGAACGCCAGCTTTTTTTTTCCAAGAACGATTTAATTTTAAAAAAAAAATTCAAAATTCAAATTAAGTTATTCATATATATATACTTTTTGTCAGAAAATTAAATTATATTTACAGAGTCTATATGTGGGATTGGGGACAGATCGAGTCTAGCAAGTTTTACAGTAATTCAATTCTCTAACATTTATACTTTCTTTTGTACTCAAATCCTCTTACTTTTTTGATATGGGCAACTTGGTTCTCTTGATTTTCGTCCCGTCCAATCAAATCTTACAAATTTTTTTTTTTGGATAAGTGCATCAGATATCATAAAACTTGTCAACGAATTTGATTGCACTTTTTTAAAATTTTCAGGACTCGATTACATTTTCGTGACAAGTTTTAAGACTTAATTGCACTTTTCGAAAATTTTAGAACTCAATAACACTTTCATGACAAATTTTAGAATTTTCAATACACTAATCTTTTTTCTTCTTCTTTTTTTGCAGTCTGATGTTTTGTTTATCCACTAAGGCCCCATTTGGTTCAGCTTTGGGAAGGGGCTTTGCTACCGAAAGCCCCTTCCCAAAATGTCGAATCTGTTGGCTTGCTCCTGACTCGGAAAGCCGAAAGTCAAGATTTGGAATGCTATCTAAAAGCCCAAAGTCTGGTCCCGATCAGCTTTGGCTTTCAAAGATTTGTGGAACGCCGAAACTTATTTTTCCTTCCCAAATTGCCCTCACTCAAATTTCAATTTTCCGGTTTTGCCCTGTCACTGTTCATCTTCTTCACGTGGCCGGCGAGGGTGGCCGGCGAAGGGCCCGCGAGGGCGGGATCTCCGCTCTGCGAAGGCCCTGGTGAAGGGGCCGGGCGAGGTCGCCCGACCTAGGCGACGGCCGCCCGGGCCTCGGGCGACCGCCCAGCGCTGCCGTCGCCCGGGCCTGGCGGTCGCCTGGAGTCGCGCGACCTGTGTGACCATCGCCCGAGGTCGCGCGACCCAGTGAGCGCCGCCCGGGTCGCGCGACCCAGTGCGACCGCCGATCCAGGCGATGGTGCCTGGGCGGTCGCCCGACCCCAGGCGGCCGTCGCCTAGGTCAGGCGACCTCGCCTGGCCTTCGCCGGCCAGATCCGCCCTCGCCGCCCACCTCGCCGCCCACCCTCGCCGGTGAAGAAGATGAATAGTAATAGAGGCAAAACCGGAATATTAAGAATAAAAATTGCCAAAGCCCTTTGCAAAAAATTTTTTACCAAACACTACTTAGGCCAAAGTAGTTTCACAAATTTTTTTTTACCAAACACCACTTGCATTTCTCCAAGTGGCTTTCATCTACAGATATTTGCATTCCCCCAAGTTGCATTTAAAAAGCCGAACCAAACGGCCCATAAGACTTGTATTGTGCAATCAAGGTTTCTTTCTCCTTGTTTTAACCGTTTGTGTTATGCTCCTTTAGCACCGAATTAGTATCGCGTGTTGCTTTTTGTCGCATAAGTAATGTCGTGCCATTAATTGATTTGACGGCTTAGTTGAAGTGGTTGACCAAGAGAACTTGATTGCACAAAAATAATAATTAATAAACCGACTCTCATAAATTCGAAAAGTTGGATGACTTGATTTAACAAAATAAAAGTTAGAGGACCAAATCACATGAACATTGAAGCTTAACGGATTAATTCTATACTTAACCCGAAGTATATGAATCATTAGATAATGAACGTAGAACTGCGGGCATGGAGGAGTTGAGCACACAAGATTAGTAGTAGGAACATGCAGATCAAGCCGATAAATGTATGCTCAAAATGGAATTGCAATTGCAATTGCAATTGCCATTAGCAATTTTCTTAACTGTATTTGGCATCAGCTCATAAAAAAATTTATTATTTTGCGAATAAAGCTTGATCTTCACACTCACTTTTGCGCCTATTAATTGTTGGTGATTGTTCTTTTCTAGCGTTTCTTGAAAGGCATCTCCGGCCTTGGAGCATCTCTCCATATAAGCTAATTTGATTCGACAGGCATGTATCCATGATTTTTTACGTAGTCTAATCCCACAAGTCCTTGCTTTGCTTTATTCATTTTCATAAAAAAAGTTAAACCGATGAACAAATTCGCACCAACCCTTTTATAAAAAGGAGCAAAAAGACATATATATTCTCGCCTATTAGAATTTTCTATCACATCGCATCTTTCTGTGCTAAGTATGCTTATATGGTCAACCAAATACGGCTTAGTCATTCCTTTTCCTTCTTCTGATGGATTTCTTTTTAAAGCGCAGAGGCCGGTGACCAGGAGACCCAACGGAATATCTTGCAAGCTCACGAACCGATCAAATCCCAAGCCTTCTACCCATGCAGCGTCCTCAATCCAGAGTGGTTTGCGCGCAATTTGTGGGATTAGCATGCGGTGATCTTCCAATTCCTGAACCGAACCCCCGACACCCAAGTTGGCCGCCACCATGCAACCTCGAGGATTATTTTCCAAAAGTCCAAATCTTTGATTCCGTGGAGTGATTTGCCTTCTCGCGTGGGGAATCAAGATGCCGACGTTCGTCTTCGGAATCTCACACGCGAAGGTAACACGAACGCAAGGGAAAGCGAGGTCGGGATGGGAATGATCCACGGCATCTAAAAAATCATATTCGGGCGGACCGTCTCCCATACGCGTTTCCGACGACTTTGATTTTTGACGAGACCAATGCAAAAGTTGCACGAGCAGGGCCCGCGAAAGAGTCCTTGCCATGTCAACGTCATGAGATGGTTAGAATTCTTCTTACTCCTGTTGACTTTTGACGCTTCTAGATCTTCTCCCCCCATCAAACAAGTCGATCGAGGGGGCAAACGGAATGGCCACGGTCCTCGACTTGACCGACCTATCCAAGGATTGTTGAGAAAAGTTGTAATCAATCGTATCGCGTCAATTCAGTTTTAAATTTTTTAATGATATCAATTTAATCTCAAATCTTTTGACGATTTGCCTATTTAGTACTTCCTGATAATTAAAAGAAAACGACTTCTCAACACTCCAACGATGACAAATAAAAGTCGCATGACTGTGCCTTTCTCCTTTTTACTGGGTGTGATTCATATTCCTCATCGATAGGAATGCATGGGGGTCGTGCTCCCCGATGAGCGAGGAGGGATTTGGGGGGGTCGTGGGGGCAGTGCCCTCGAGCCGCCGATGATTTTTATAGTTTGGGCCCGTATTTTATTGATAGTTTGGCTTGAACCTATAAATAGCTATTGCCTATATATAGTCATTTTCTCCTGTAATTGAAAATTGTAATAGAGAGGTGGGAAGTGCTAATTATAGTAGAATCCTCCGTCGTATGTAGCTCTAATTTAAGGATGAACCATAATAAAACTTTGTGTATTGATTTCCCTTTTTCCATTTTCCTTACTATTTCGTTGTGTTTCTATGTCTAATCCTAACACATCCAGTTGAGTAACTTCATTGGCATCCATTCAGAAAGTCATACCTCGACACTGAAAGTTATTACATATATTGAAAAAGTTGTTACCACTTGGAAGATACTCACCCGCTTGGAATATCTTTTATCTCATGCTTTATAACGAGGGATTGTTGATGGACCCGTCCAGAGAGGAATTGGGGCGAAGCATCGGAAAATTCTTAAATGATCTCGGTGCATGTGAGATCAGTGCATCCTAATCCTTCAAAGTGGTTGGACCTATAGATTCTAAGAACTGGAATGCACCGGGTTTGCATGCATTCGGTGGCACAGCAGAACGCTTTCGAATACGGAACTAATATTGACGTCATTATTGGCCGACATGATCATTGAAGCAAGGGGCCTTGATTCGAGGGTATGGTCAAAGAAGATATTTGATTGAGCTGTGTGGCCTCGGAATCAGTGCACTCGAATGGAAGTTTGCATATGTCCCGTGCATGAACATATGTCCATATCGAAGCTGTCAATAGCAAGTTGACATGGCGCCTTAAATTAATACCAGTAACTATAGGGAATGGCCATTGATTATGGACCGACGCCTTGCACGCACGTCCATGCGCACCATTCCTGAGAACTCGTCTCCCCCCCCCTCCCGCACCCCCCCTACTTGCATTTTCATATGTTTTGAATACATGTTTCTCTGCATGCGAAATTCGTATGTATTGTATGATTCGTAACTTTGTTTCGTTGTCTTTTTTTATGGGGGGTTGCCGCAATGGAGTGCTGTTCGGATTTGTTAACCTGTTCTGCCCGATCGATTCCTCGACCAGTCTGTTGGAGATTTACCCTTTTCCGGATATCGGATGATCACCAGAGTATGTGGATTCATGGTACCGGAGATGACCCGAGAGAAAAAATAGTTAAGAAATGTGTCTTCTTCTAAGGCTAGTATTATTCTTATCTATGAAAGATTGGTGCTTGAAATTGAATTTTCCTCGGCAATTCCACGATCAATAAACTCAGGCCCGAGTGATGGTGTAAGAATTTCGATAGATGGACGGATCCCGAAAAGATTTGCAAAAGAGGCCCATTCACATGAATCACTGGCCTTAGGCTCTTTCGATGATTTTCATAAGTCTAGGATGCAACCAAAGACTACAATTTGATGGCCGATGAACCTTAGTAGGTTCAAGAGCAAAAAAAAAAAACATTAATAGGTTCGATAATCAGGTCGCAAAACTTAATCACTATGTTTTCATTTCGTTACAACCATTAACACTTGGAGCTTGTGTTTGACAACTATACTGACCAACCGGTAAAAGTTTTCCCAATTTACTAATCGAGCACGATTTAACTGAAATTCTTAAGTCATCCTTAGCGCAAGATTGTTTCTTAAAGCTCATTCCCAACCAAGTACAATAATGTGCTACATTTTTCAGCAAAAAAATATGATATTCAATCGACAAGTGATATGATAGTGGCATTACACAATACGATATGGACTCTGGGGCGCATCTCAAAAAATTCACGAACTTTCAGCCATAGGTAAAGAAAACAAAATCCCTTAGCTTTTCAAATGACTCAAAAGAACTTTCG